TCAGATGTTAACAGAGATTTGATGTTTTTTAAAATTTTAAAACCAATAAAGTATATTTAAAAAATATATATATTTTATGAATGTTTAAAATAATTGTATGATTTATATTTTTAAAATATATCCATCGAAGCAAATGAAAGAGAAAAATGGAATGATAATTGGTTAATTTAAGATGTAAGTAACAGGTTTTTGGGGATAATGGCGTAGTTAAATAGACAGATTTGAGGGAAATACTTGAGTAAAATATTAAGCTGTGTTAATTGAACATTAAGATTTGTGAGTGATTTGTTTTAATTTGTGACCGGATCAAAAGCTTCATTTTGAAAAGATGTGTTTTATCTTTATGTTTTAAAAAATAATAAAAAACTTTTTAAAAAGAGAGAGAGAGAGAGAGGCTAAGCATTGAACATCAGAGACAGGTATATAAATGTACATTTATGATGATATGTGTGAATTTTGTAAAACGAAAAAGTAATTGAAAAGAAAGTAAAAAATCGGGATTGCTCGAATACCACTTCGGAAAATACTAAATTGAAAATGAATACAACAATAGAGAGAGAATGGAGAGGGATAGAGGAGAGGAGAGAGGAAGGAGAGAGAGAGAAAGAAGAAAGGGAAAAGGAGAGGACGAAAGAGAGGGGAAACAAAACTAGGAGAGAAGGTTAGAAGGGAGGTGTGGGGGAAAGGAAGGGGAAGGAGAGAAGGAGAAGGAGAGGAGGAAAGGAGATGGAGAGGGATAGAGGAGAGGAGAGAGGAAGGGGAGAAAGAGGGAAAGAAGAAAGGGAAAAGGAGAGGAAGAAAGAGAGGGGAAACAAGAGTAGGAGAGAAGGTTAGAAGAAGGGAGGTGTGGGGGAAAGGAAGGGAAGTAGAGAAGGAGAAGGAGAGGAGGAAAGAAGAAAGTAGATGGAGAAGGATAGAGGAGAGAAGAGAGGAAGGGGAGAGAGAGGGAAAGAAGAAAGGAAAAAGGAGAGGACAAAAGAGAGGGGAAACAAGAGTAGGAGAGAAGGTTAGAAGAAGGGAGGTGTGGGGGAAAGGAAGGAGAAGGAGAGAAGGAGAAGGAGAGGAGGAAAGAAAGAAGTAGATGGAGAGGGATAGAGGAGAGAAGAAAGGAAGGGGAGAAAGAGGGAAAGAAGAAAGGGAAAGGAGAGGACGAAAGAGAGGGAAAACAAGTGTAGGAGAGAAGGTTAGAAGGGAGGAAGAAGGGAGGTGTGGGGAGAAGGAAGGGGAAGGAGAGAAGGAGAAGGAGAGGAGGAAAGAAGAAAGTAGATGGAGAGGGATAGAGGAGAGAAGAGAGGAAGGGGAGAAAGAGGGAAAGAAGAAAGGAAAAAGGAGAGGATGAAAGAGAGGGAAAACAAGAGTAGGAGAGAAGGTTAGAAGAAGGGAGGTGTGGGGGAAAGGAAGGAGAAGGAGAGAAGGAGAAGGAGAGGAGGAAAGAAGAAAGTAGATGGAGAGGGATAGAGGAGAGAAGAGAGGAAGGGGAGAGAGAGGGAAAGAAGAAAGGGAAAAGGAGAGGATGAAAGAGAGGGAAAACAAGCGTAGGAGAGAAGGTTAGAAGAAGGGAGGTGTGGGGGAAAGGAAGGGAAAGTAGAGAAGGAGAAGGAGAGGAGGAAAGAAGAAAGTAGATGGAGAGGGATAGAGGAGAGAAGAAAGGAAGGGGAGAAAGAGGGAAAGAAGAAAGGGAAAAGGAGAGGACGAAAGAGAGGGAAAACAAGTGTAGGAGAGAAGGTTAGAAGGGAGGAAGAAGGGAGGTGGTGGGGAGAAGGAAGGGGAAGGAGAGAAGGAGAAGGAGAGGAGGAAAGAAGAAAGTAGATGGAGAGGGATAGAGGAGAGAAGAGAGGAAGGGGAGAAAGAGGGAAAGAAGAAAGGAAAAAGGAGAGGATGAAAGAGAGGGAAAACAAGAGTAGGAGAGAAGGTTAGAAGGGAGGTGTGGGGTAAAGGAAGGGGAAGGAGAGGAGGAAAAGGAGAGGAGGAAAGAAGAAAGTAGAAGAGTAGATGGAAGAAGGGAGGGAAAGGAAAGAGAGGAGAGGGAGAAGAAGGATTGTTGTAAAACAAGGGAGATGAAGTGGTAGAAGAGCAACCCCGAATACAATTTAATTGTTTAGGATGAAGATTGTATTAGTATGAAACTTAAAAGATAATATGTGTGTTAGAGAAGAAGTTGTACATTTAAGGTATGTTCAAAAAAAAAAAGAGAGAGAGAGAGACAGAACTCAGGCAATGAGCAAGGCCCATCACCTCCTGATCCCTGATCATGGAGAGTGGAGAGAAGGCGAGAACAGCACACACTGTTCTCGTCCCGCTCCTCTTCACAAGGCACACCTGGGGACTGAGCCTTAAGGAGACGCTGTGGGGAGGGGCATTTGTCGGGAACGAACGCTGAATTCCTGGAGTGCCGAGTGACCATGTTTGAATTTTCCTGGATCCCTGGCATTTTTGCTGGATTTCTGGATTAATTGCCTTGTTTCTTTGCTTCCTGGACTCCTCGACTCGCCCTGCTGGATTTCTTACTTTGCCGCTGTGGCGCTCACCGCGTTGAGCTGGACTGTTTTGCAGCCAGAGACAGAAGAGAAGGCTCCTCCAATGGTGGTTTAGCTCGAGTAACCATGGTTTCATGCTTGTTTTCCTGCCCCAGCTCCTGATTCCTCACTTGCGGTACTCCATCCACATCAACGTGTTGGCCAGGACATTCCTGATCAGCCAAGGGGGCACCTTTGATAAGGTAAGAGGACATCCATGGGACCTCTGGGCCAAGCATGATGGGCTTTGATGGAGAAAAGTATCCGTTGATCCTGGGTGACCCATTGTTCGGCCCCAGCTACGGACCCCAAAGGACGCAGCACACACGAAGTCCGTACAAACCTTAGTTTACTAATTAAAGACTACTAATGAGCTTTCTTAGTAGTTGTTCGAACACGAGTACCGTTTAAATCAGTCTTTTCTGAACAAGGGCTGTTCATTTAACTTCATGAACAGCCGACAAGAATCCAAAGAATAATTAACTCAATTCTGAGGCACAGTATTTCAGATAACCGTCATCTTACTGCGGTTGGCAGAATGCCCAGAAGCAATTTGCAGGAAAACTGACAAGAGCCGAATCAAACGTTTTCTGGAATCAAGACGCGAAGGAATATGAACGAAGTTGTTTCCTGCAAATTGCTTCAGTCGCCGTCCTTCCTTAAATAGGTTAGGGGAGTGGCCAATTAGCCCCAAGCGTTACTCTCGAGGAGACCTCCTCCTGAGGAGCCACTCCTGCCTTTTGGCAGCTCTGTGTGCTCGTGCATCGAGAAGAGGCTCCTCCTCTTCTTCCTCTTCACTTATGGGAGTTTCTGGAGGCGCTGAAGGCCCGGGCTGAATCCCCGCCTCTGGCACCACATCTTCTCCAGCCTCCTCATTGTCTGACTCGAGCGCCAGCTGCACAGGCTGCTGGCGCAGCACCACACCAGCCTCCTCGCTGTCGGAATCAGCTACTAGCTGCACAGGCCATTGACGGGCCACAACACTGTAACAACCGGTTCGCCCGGAGCAGAAAATGTGAGCACATGCACGGCATCAAAAATACAGCGATTACATAGGACGTGATAGTGCAGGGGTGGGTCGATCGGGACTACCGGTTTGCCCGAAGCGGTCCGGACCGGCAGCAGCTCACCACTGCCCGGGATGCAGCTACCATCATAAATACGTGCCGTTCACTAAACATGTAAATTTTGATCACAGGGCCGTGCGGGCTCTTGTGACGGTCGTAATTGCGAGGAACGGTCCTAAGTCACTGTTTCTCAGCGCTGTTGGGCACGAACCAAATGGTCGTAAATTGAGAACTACCTGTGCTGTGTACGGATGCCCTACAGCGGAGGCGAAAGGGGGGAGGGGAGGAGAACGGGCAGTCTGTCGGCGGGAACGTCACCTCTGTCTTTTGACAGCCTCTCATCAAGGGGCAGTAGGTCAAAAAAGTCAAGATGGTGGGCACAACCAAGCCTCTCCCCCTCCCCCGCCCACTCCTTTTCTGCTTCCTTAATGGTGTAAAAATAGAGTAGAGTTTGGATTATATAGCCATGAGCAGTGGTGGGATTCAAACAATTTAACAACATGTTCTCTGCCCTACGTAGAGTAGAGTAGAGTAGAGTAGAGTAGAGTAGAGTAGAATAGAATAGAATAGAATAGAATAGAATAGAATAGAATAGAATAGAATAGAATAGAATAGAATGTTTTCCTTTTTTTCGTTTTGTTTTCTCCTACTCTCTAGAGTGGAGAGATTGCAGGGGAAGGGATTAGAAGAGAGTAAGCTAACCACAATGGGGATACATATTACATAAAATGTTAATATCACTTTATAAGGCCTTGGTAAGACCCCAGAGTTCCTCAGCCAGCCATGCCTGTTTTGTTTTGTTTTCTCCTACTCTCTAGAGTGGAGAGATTGCAGGGGAAGGGATTAGAAGAGAGTAAGCTAACCACAATGGGGATACATATTACGTAAAGTGTTAATATCACTTTATAAGGCCTTGGTAAGACCCCAGAATTCCTCAGCCAGCCATGCCTGTTTTGTTTTGTTTTCTCCTACCCATTAGAGTGGAGAGATTGCAGAGGAAAGGATTAGAAGAGAGTAAGCTAACCGCAATGGGGATACATATTACGTAAAGTGTTAATATCACTTTATAAGGCCTTGGTAAGACCCCAGAATTCCTCAGCCAGCCATGCCTGGTTTTTTTCCCCCCTCCTATCCTCTAGAGTGGAGAGATTGCAGAGGAAGGGATTAGAAGAGAGTAAGGGAACCACAACGGGGATACATATCACGTGAAGTGTTAATACTCTTTTATAATGCCTTGGTAAGACCACACTTGGAATACTGCGTCCAGTTTTGGTCTCCAAGATGCAAAAAAGATGTCGAGACTCTGGAAAGAGTGCAGAGAAGAGCAACAAAGATGATTAGGGGACTGGAGGCTAAAACATACGAAGAACGGTTGCAGGAATTGGGTATGTCTAGTTTAATAGAAAAAAAGGACTAGGAGTGAGCAGGGGCTGTACTAGTAGATCTCCAAGGTCCCTTGGGGTCAAATTATTCTCCAAAGCACCTGAAGGCAGGACAAGAAACAACGGATGGAAACTAATCAAGGAGAGAAGCAACCTGGAATGAAGGAGAAACTTCCTAAGAGGGAGGACAATTAAACAGTGGAACAGCTTGCCACCAGAAGTTGAGGGTGCTCCATCACTGGAGAAGAGACTGGACAGTCATTTGTCTGAAATGGTCTAGAGGACCTCCAAGCAAGGACCCTTCCAACTCTGTCATTCTGTGTTCTTTCCACAGGCCATTGCCACCGGACGCCAGGGATTAGCGGTGCTTCTCCAAAAAGCCACGGACGATCTGACTTACACCCAGCTCTGCCTTCCGGACGACATCGAAGCCCGGGGAGTGGGCGGCCTCCTCAACTATTACTACAGGGACGATGGCCTGAAGATCTGGGAAGCCATCAAGAGGTGAAGGAGCTGGGCCAGAGAGTTGGGTAGGGCCTCGCAAGCTTCTCCCGCTTGGTGTCCTCCTAAGAGGTCAGCCAGAACTGGGGGACAGGCTGCTTGGAAGGGGCGACAAAGGAGCCAGAATCGTCCACCGTCGTAATTTCAGCCTGATGAATGGAGGTTGCAAGGGTGGTGGATTCGAGTCTCATGCAAGAGGGAGAGGTTGGGAACCATGGGATATTGGCCCCGTAGCTACATCTGGAGGCTCCACCTCCCCAACTCCTGCGACCATAAACTTGGATAGGAGATAATCTTTGTAGCTCAGGGCTGAAATGAGGTTTCTGGTTGAAGCAGACCCAGCTTGTTCTGCCCCAGCTACGGACCCCAAAGAACGCAGCACACACAAAGTCCGTACAAACCTTAATTAACTAATTAAGGACTACTAACGAGCTTCCTTAGTAGTTGTTCGAACACAAGTACAATAAATCAGTCTTTTCTGAACAAGGGCTGTTCATTTAACTTCATGAACAGCCAACAAGAATCCGAAGAATAATAACTCAGTTCTGAGGCACAGTCTTTCAGATAACCGTCATCTTACTGTGGTTGGCAGAATGCCCAGAAGCAATTTGCAGGAAAACTGATAAGAGAGAAACAAGAGCCGAATCAAACGTAATCAAGACGCGAAGGAATTTGAACGAAGTTGTTCCCTGCAAATTGCCTCAGTCGTCATCCTTCCTTAAATAGGCTGGGGGAGTGGCCAATTAGCCCCAAGCCTTACTCTCGAGGAGACCTCCTCCTGAGGAGCCACTCCTGCCTTTTGGCAGCTCTGCGCACCCGTGCATCGAGAAGAGGCTCCTCCTCTTCGTCCTCTTCACTTAAGGGAGCTTCTGGAGGTTCTGAAGGCCCTGGATGAATCTCCGCCTCTGGCACCACATCTTCTCCAGCCTCCTCATTGTCCGACTCGAGTGCCAGCTGCACAGGTTGCTGGCGCAGCACCAAACCAGCCTCCTCGCTGTCGGAATCAGCTACCAACTGCACAGGCTGCTGACGGGCCACAACACAGCTAGGGAACATCATCAGTTCTAGAAGGGAGTAGGGTTTGTGGAGAGGAGGAGGAGGAAGGAGGGAGGAAGAGGAGGAGGAGGAGGAGGAGGACTGAGAGGTCCTTGGTGCTCTCTGAGCTTGGTGGTTTTCTTGCAGACGTTTCATGACCCAACTAAGGAACGTTATCAGTGCTAGAAGAGAGTGGGGTCTGCTCTCTTTTTACATATGAAACATCTGCAAGAGAACAACTGAGCTGAGAGAGCATAGTAGAGACCTCACACTACTCCCCTCCTCCTCCTTTTGCTTCTCCTCTTCTCCATAAACCCCACTCCCTTCTAGTACTGATGACGTTACCTAGTTTGGTCATGAGACATCTGCAAGGAAACCGCCAAGCTCAGAGAGCACCAAGGACCCCTCAGTCTTCCTCCACCTCCTCCTCCTCCTCCTGTCCACCAACCCCACTCCACTCCACTCCCCACTCCCAAACCATAAACTTTGTTGGCTTTATGTTGGGTGCGGAAAAAGGAGCTGGCGGCTAAGCCTCTTTTTCTGGGAGAGACATGTTTTCCTCCTCCCTCCCCGCAGCTTCGTCTCGGGCATCGTCGGACTCTACTACAAGAGCGATTCAGCTGTCCAGGGAGACGTCGAGCTGCAGGCTTGGCTGGCCGAGATCTTCGCCAAGGGGTTCCTCAGCAAAGAGACCTCAGGTACTTCATCCTTGAACGCAGGGAGGAACGTTCGGTTTTGTCCTTTCCTGGTGGTGTCATTTCCACATCCATTCCATTTCTTTTCTAGTGGTGTCAATTCCATTCCTTTCCATTCTTTCCTGGTGGTGTCAATTCCATTCCGTTCCATTCTTTCCTGGTGGTGTCAATTCCATTCTATTCCATTCCATTCTTTCCTGGTGGTATCAATTCCATTCCATTCCATTCCATTCCATTCTTTCCTGGTGGTGTCAATTCCATTCCGTTCCATTCTTTTCTGGTGGTGTCAATTCCATTCCGTTCCATTCTTTCCTGGTGGTATCAATTCCATTCCATTCCATTCCATTCTTTCCTGGTGGTGTCAATTCCATTCCATTCCATTCTTTCCTGGTGGTGTCAATTCCATTCCATTCCATTCTTTCCTGGTGGTGTCAATTCCATTCCATTCCTTTCTTTTCTGGTGGTGTCAATTCCGTTCCGTTCCATTCTTTTCTGGTTGTGTCAATTCCATTCCGTTCCATTCTTTCCTGGTGGTATCAATTCCATTCCATTCCATTCCATTCTTTCCTGGTGGTGTCAATTCCATTCCATTCCATTCTTTCCTGGTGGTGTCAATTCCATTCCATTCCATTCTTTCCTGGTGGTGTCAATTCCGTTCCATTCCATTCTTTCCTGGTGGTGTCAATTCCGTTCTGTTCCATTCCATTCTGTAGAATACAGGTAGCCCCCAACTTAACAACCATTTCTTTAGTGACCGTTCGGCGCTACGATGGCACTGAAAAAAAAGCATTTGAGTGAGTTGTGTGTGCACTCTTAAGATCTTTTTTCCCCACGGTTGTTAAGCAAAACACTGTGGCTATTAAAAGAATCAGTCAGTTGTTAAGTGAATCAGGCTTCTCCCAGTGACGTTGCTTGTCAAAAGCCTGCTGGGAAGGTCGCAAATGGAGATCACATGATCCGGGAGATCACATATCATTTAACGACCCCATAATCCTTTGCGGGGTGGAGTCTGTGCAACTGAATGGAGCTGAGTGCTTTACTGGCCGGATGCTGTTCTGATCGCCAGTGTGGAGTTTTGTTCGGCAGATATATTCTCATTGTGCCCAGAGAGAGAAATATCTGCCTCTACCTAGGATCGAACTCATAGCCTCCTAATTGTGAGGCGAGAGCTCCACCTCTAGGCCACTGCACCACTCCATCCCGGAGATCACATGATCATTGTCAATACGTGCCAGTTGTGCAACATCTGGATTTTGATCATGTAACTGTGAGGATTCCGCGAAGATCATAACGGTCATACGTCCCTTTTTTCAGTGCCGTCGTAACGACGAACGGTCACTAAACAAGTACAGGCAGTCCCCGACTTACGACCACAACGGAGCCCTAAATTTCTGTGGTTAAGTGAGACGTTGGTTACGTGGATTTCTTCTTACCCCATTTTATGACATTTCTCGCCACAGTCGTTAAGTGAATCACTGCAGCGGATAAGTTAGGAATACAGTTGTTAAATAAATCCGGCTTTCCCCAAGGTCACAAAAGCGGATCACGTGACGCACACCCCCGGGATGCTGCGACCGTCGTAAATATGAGTCGCTTGCCAAGCGTCCGAATTTGGATTGCGTGAGAATGGGGATGCTGCAACGGTCGTAGGTTCCTTTTTTCAGTGCCGTCATAACTTTGAACAGTCGCTAAACAAATTGTCGTAAATCGAGGATTACCTGTAGTCGTAAGTCAAGGAACACCTGCCCCAGTATTTCCTCTGTTTGTGCGTTCCTATCTTTCTTGTCGTCCTTTTCCAACGAGGCACTCTCGGATGTACGACCGTGCGACTCACTTAACGACCATTATAAAAACAGTCGAAAAACCAGATCCAATTCCAGAGTTATGACTGGAACGACTGGTGAGACGGGCTGAACCCCTCTGTCCCCCCCAGGAATCGCTGCTTGGCCTCCTTTCCCTCATCCGGGGGGGAATTTCAGCTAGACGTCTCCTCCCCTCTCTTCACAGGCATCCCCTCCTCCATCCAGTCCGTCCCAGAACTCATCAAGTACCTGACCATGGTCATCTTCACCTGCTCGGCTCACCATGCGGCGGTCAACGGCGGGCAGGTAGGTGAGGCCGGCCGGATCCTCGGCCGATGATGGCTTCTCCCATTGATCCATTGATTCATCCCTCCCTCCCTTCCATTTCCTTCCTTCCTCTCTCCCTCCCTCTCCTTCCTTCCTTCCCTCTCTCCCTTCTTATTCCCATTTCCTCCCTCCCTCCCTCCCCTCCCTCTCTTCCTTTCCTCTCTCCCTCCCTCCTTCCCTCCTTCCCTGCGTCCCTCATTCTCATTCCCATTTCCTCCCTCCCTCCCTCCCTCTCCTTCCTTTCCTCTTTCCCTTCTTATTCCCATCTCCTTCCTTCTCCCCCCTCCCTCTCCTTCCTTCCTTCCTTCCCTTCCTTCCTCCCTCTGCTTCCTTCCTCCCTCCCTCCCTCTGCTTCCTCCCTCCCTCCCTTCCTTTCCTCTTTCCCTTCTTATTCCCATCTCCTTCCTTCTCCCTCCCTCCCTCTCCTTCCTTCCTTCCTTCCCTTCCTTCCTCCCTCTGCTTCCTTCTTTCCTCCCTCCCTTCCTTTCCTCTCTCCCTTCTTTATTCCCATCTCCTTCCTTCTCCCTCCCTCCCTCTCCTTCCTTCCTTTCCTCTCTCCCTTCTTATTCCCATTTCCCCTCCCTCTTTTCCTTTCCTCTCTCTCTCCCTCTTTCCATCCTTCCCTGCGTCCCTCCTTCTCATTCCCATCTCCTTCTTCCCTTCTTCCCCTCCCTCCCTTTTTATTCCCATTTCCTCCCTCCCTCCCTCCTTCCCCTCTTCCCTGCGTCCCTCCTTCTCATTCCCATCTCCTTCCCTTGGTCTACAATGAGAGGCTTTAGCGGATTCTTCCGTTCTGTCTGACGCCCTTCCTGTCCTTTGAAGTTTGAGATGGGGGCTTTCATGCCCAACCTGCCTTCGTCCATGAGGAAGCCCCCTCCCCAGGCGAAGGCCCCCCTCAGGCTCCAGGACTTCCTGGACACCATCCCGGAAATGAACGTCACCAGCCAGGTGCTCTCCGTCCTCTGGGTGCTGCAGAACGAGATCCTCGACATGGTAAGGGTCTCCCTGCGTCCCCTCCCCTCCCCTCCCCTGGCCCTTTCTCTTTCTTTCTTTCTTTCTTTCTTTCTTTCTTTCTTTCTTTCTTTCTTCCTTCCTTCCTTCCTTCCTTCTTTCTTTTCTTCTTCCTTCCTTCTTGTCTTTCTGTCTGTCTGTCTATCTATCTATCTATCTATCTTTCTTTCTTTCTTTCTTTCTGTCTTTCTTTCTGTCTTTCTTCCTTCCTTCCTTCTTGTCTTTCTGTCTGTCTGTCTATCTGTCTTTCTTTCTTTCTTTCTTCCTTCCTTCCTTCCTTCTTTCTTTTCTTCTTCCTTCCTTCTTGTCTGTCTATCTATCTATCTTTCTTTCTTTCTCCCTTTCTTTTTTTCCTTCCTTCCTTCCATCCATTCTTTCTTCCTTCCTTCCTTCTTGTCTTTCTGTCTGTCTGTCTGTCTGTCTTTCTTTCTTTCTTTCTTTCTTTCTTCCTTCCTTCCTTCCTTCCTTCCTTCCTTCTTTCTTTTCTTCTTCCTTCCTTCTTGTCTGTCTGTCTATCTATCTTTCTTTCTTTCTTTCTCCCTTTCTTTCTTTTTTCCTTCCTTCCTTCCATCCATTCTTTCTTCCTTCCTTCCTTCTTGTCTTTCTGTCTGTCTGTCTGTCTATCTATCTATCTATCTATCTATCTATCTATCTATCTATCTATCTATCTTTCTTTCTGTCTTTCTTCCTTCCTTCCTTCCTTCTCGTCTTTCTGTCTGTCTGTCTGTCTTTTTCTTTCTTCCTTCCTTTCTTTCTTTGTTTCTGTCTTCCTTCCTTCCTTCCTTCTTGTCTTTCTGTCTGTCTGTCTGTCTTTCTTTCTTTCTTCCTTCCTTCCTGTCTGTCTTTCTTTTTTCTTTCTTTCTTTCTTTCTTTCTGTCTGTCTGTCTCTTTCTATCTTTCTTTCTTCCTTCTTTCTTTTCTTCTTCCTTCCTTCTTGTCTTTCTGTTTGTCTATCTATCTATCTATCTATCTATCTATCTATCTATCTTTCTTTCTTTCTTCCTTCCTTTCTTTCTTTCTTTCCTTCCTTCCTTCCATTCTTTCTTCCTTCCATTCTTCCTTCCTTCCTTCCTTCCATTCTTCCTTCTTTCTTTTCTTCTTCCTTCCTTCCTTCTTGTCTGTCTATCTATCTATCTATCTTTCTTCCTTCCTTCCTTTCTTTCCTTCCTTCCATTCTTCCTTCCTTCCTTCCTTCTTGTCTTTCTGTCTGTCTATCTGTCTGTCTGTCTTTCTATCTATCTTTCTTTCTTTCTTTCTGTCTGTCTTTCTTTCTATCTTTCTTCCTTCCTTCCTGTCTGTCTCTTTTTTCTTTCTTTCTTTCTTTCTTTCTTTCTTTCTTTCTTTCTTTCTTTCTTTCTGTCTCTTTCCTCTCTCTCTTTTCTTATGTTCTTTCTTTCTTTTCCTTCCTTCCTACTTATTTTCTATCTTTCTCTTTCTTCCTTTTTCTCTTTCTTTTTCTCTTTACTTTTTTTCCCTTTCTTGTTTTCTTTCCTGTTTCTTTTCTTTCGTTCATTTTCCTTCTATTTCTTTCTTTCTCTCTTTCCTTTCTCTCTCATTCTTTCTTTTTTCTTATGTTCTTTCTTTCTTTCTTTCCTGTTTTCTTTCATTCATTTTCCTTTTCCTTTTCTTTCTCTCTTTCTTTTTTCTTATGTTATTTCTTTTCTTCTCTTTCTTTCTTTTGCTTTCTATTTCTCCTTCCTTCCATCCTTCCCTCCTTTCTCTTCCTTCCTTCCTCCTCCCATTCTTTCCTCTCTCCCTCCTTTCTCTCTTCCTTCCTTCCTTCCTTTCTCTTTTCCTTCCTCTCCTCTTTCTTTCATTTTCTTTCTTTCTTTTCCTTCCTTCCTACTTACTTTCTTTCTTTCTCTTTCTTCCTTTTTCTCTTTCTTTTTCTCTTTACTTTTTTCTCCCTTTCTTGTTTTCTTTCCTGTTTCTTTTCTTTCGTTCATTTTCCTTCTATTTCTTTCTTTCTCTCTTTCCTTTCTCTCTCATTCTTTCTTTTTTCTTATGTTCTTTCTTTCTTTTCCTTCCTTCCTACTTACTTTCTTTCTTTCTCTTTCTTTCTTTTTCTCTTTCTTTCTTTACTTTTTTCTCCCTTTCTTGTTTTCTTTCCTGTTTCCTTTCTTCCGTTCATTTTCCTTCTATTTCTTTCTTTCTCCCTTTCCTCTCCTTCTCCTTCTTTCTTTTTTCTTATGTTCTTTCTTTCTTTCTTTCCTGTTTTCTTTCATTCCTTTTCCTTTTCCTTTTCTTTCTTTCTCTTTCCTCTCCCTTTCTTTTTTCTTATGTTATTTCTTTTCTTCTCTTTCTTTCTTTTGCTTTCTATTTCCCCCTTCCTTCCATCCTTCCCTCCTTTCTCTTCCTTCCTTCCTCCTCCCATCCTTTCCTCTCTCCCTCCTTTCTCTCTTCCTTCCTTCCTTCCTTCCTCTCTCTTTTCCTTCCTCTCCTCTTTCTTTCTTGTTTTTTTTCCTCCCATTGTTTTCTTTTCATGGAGCTTTTAAAGTGCTTTTTACACTTTTTAAAGTGCTTTTAAAGAAGCCCTTTGTCCAGAAGGGTAGAGTCTCTTTCTTGAGCAGTGGGCTGGACTAGATGACCTTCGCGATCCCTTCCAAACCCCGTTTATTCTCTTCCCCTTCTGCAGAAACCGCTGGGCTGCTACGACGAGCAACTCTTTGTGGAGGAAGCTCCGAAGCGGCTCATCGGCGATTTCCAGGAACGTCTCAAGCGCATCACTGTGGCCATCGACAGCCGGAATAAGACCCTCACGCTGCCTTACACTTACCTCTATCCCCCCAACATAGAAAACAGCACGACAATCTAGGACGCTGGGTCGCTCAGCCTGCGCATGTTGCTAGTCCTCAACGAGGGTTCCCGCCCATTTTTTTTTTCTCCTTTCGAAAGCCGGGGGTAGGGACGGAGGATATGAAGAGCATCAGAGATGCACGAATTCCACCTCCAGGAATCCCTCCAGGCAACAGACAAGGCAAAGGAGAAACAATCGCGAAATGCAGTTGCGTCCGAGGTCATATCGTTGTACGGCTAGTCCTCGACTTGCGACCAAAACTGAGCCCGAAGTTTCTGTCGCTAAGCGAGACATTTTTTTAAAAAGTGAGTTTTGCCCCTACGTTAAGACCTTTCTTGCCAGGGTCGTTAAACGAATCGCTGCCGTTGATAAACTTAGCGGCCCGGTCGTTAAGCGAATCCGGCTTTCCCCTCAGAAGGTCGCAAAGAAGGGGAAAAATCGCGTGACCTTGGGACACCAGCGACGGTCACAAATATGAATGTCGATCCCACGGGGAGGCTGCGGAGGTCGTAACTGTGAAACACAGGACTTTGATCCGGGGCCGTTGTAACTTTGGACGGTCGTAAGTGGAGGACTAGCTGCGGATCCCTTCTGTGAGTTCAGGGGCCGCTGATTGAGCAATTCTGAGGTAACTAATTTGAGGACAAGAGGCCCTTTTGAAACCAAACATGTCAAAGGCGCCTGGTTTTTTCTTTTTTTTCCTCCGCTACCAAAATAAATCCTGTTTTACGCAACTTTCGAGTTTTCCTTTCGAAGAAATGCTGAATTTCAAGTCGTTTTTCTTTTTGTGTGTGTTGGCGCGTCTTTCCGGATGGTGACAAGAGTTCAGAAGGCCAAAACCCGACAAATTCCTTTGCAGTTGCCTTCTTTTCCAAACGGACTCCAAATCGAGCAAAAGTGTAGGGTTTTTTTTCCTCTCTCTCTCTCCGAAACGACCCACAATCGCATTACACAATCACGACACGGACACTTAAACTGACTTCAAGGGTTTTCTCTACATTATGCACTGCTTTAGACCAAACTTGGCCACTTTCAGAGGTGTGGACTTCAACTCCCAGAATCCCCCAGCCAGCTCTTTTTCCCCCCATTTTGCTGAAGTCAAGATATATGACGCTTACTGCATACCCACCATCTATGAAGAAAGTTATACTACATTAAAGTGGCCCAGGTTGGAGATCCCTGATTTAAGACTTGTGGACTTCAACTCCCAGAATTCCCCAGACAGCTCTTTCCTCCCCACTTTGCTGAAGTTAAGATATATTACGCTTACTGCATACCCACCATCTATTAAGAAAGTTATACTACATGGCTGGCTGGGGAATTCTGGGAGTTGAAGTCCACAAATCTTAAAATTGCCAAGGTTGGAGACTCCCTGATTTAAGACTTGTGGACTTCAACTCCCAGAATTCCCCAGCCAGCTCTTTCCCCCCACACTTTGCTGAAATTAAGATATATTACGCTTACTGCATACCCATCATCTATTAAGAAAGTTACCCTACGTGGCTGGCTGGGGAATTCTGGGAGTTGAAGTCCACAAATCTTAAAGTGGCCAAGCTTGGAGACTCCCTGATTTAAGACTTGTGGACTTCAACTCCCAGAATTCCCCAGCCAGCTCTTTTTTTCCCCACTTTGCTGAAGTCAAGATATATTACGCTTACTGCATACCCATCATCTATTAAGAAAGTTATACTACGTGGCTGGCTGGGGAATTCTGGGAGTTGAAGTCTTAAAGTCCCCAACTTAGATATTCTCGCTGTTAGTCCTTTGAACCCTGCTGACATTTATTGCAATCAGGGAGCCTGTAGGGACTTACGACCACAATGGAGCCCAAAATTTCCGTTAAGTGAGACGTGTATGTGTTGTTTAG